CATACATACATACATACATACATACATACATACATACATACATACATACATACATACATACATCCACTCCCACTTGTTCAGAAGATGTGGGAAGTGCTGGAAGGAGTCAGTTCCTCTAAGTCTAAGGCCATAGTTCTCAAATGGAAAAGGGTGGAATGCCCCCTCTGTGGTGGTGGGGAGTCTTGATGAAGTATCTGGAYATCTTGTTCACGTGTGGTGGAAGGACGGAGAAGGAGATGAATCAATAGAATGAGACCATGTCCTCAGTAATGAGGACATTGCTTCAGTCAGTCATGATGAAGAAAGAGCTGAGTCAAAAGGCAAAGCTCTTGATTCTCTTATCTGTCTATATGGTCATGAAGCATGGACCATTTTCAAAAGAATGAGATCTCATATACAAGCATCTGAAATGAGCTTCCTTYATTGGGTGGCCAGGCTTAGCCTTAGAGACAGGGTGCGGAGCTACGTCATTCAGTGGGATGGATTACGTATTCTCCTATGGCCTAGAAACACTTCAGGGTCCCCCAGAACGAGATAGAAAGTGTCACTAAGAAGAGGGATGTACGGGAACTGACAAAAGGGATGTGTGGGTTTCTCTCCTGGAACTATGACCGGACTGTGGATAAGCGGCAGAAAATGGAGATGTTCTTGAACTGGATCGCGAGGTTATCGTCTTCCAGCTACCTCTTCCACATGTTCTGAGAACATTCCAAAGCCAGCTACAAGACATAGTCTCTCCAGTGTGTCCTTGATCTTTTCCTGGAACACCTAGAAACCTCCCCAAGGAGTCACCTTATCTTTAAGGAAGAGTTCAACYACCCTRCAGTGAAAACTCATTTTGATCCACTGCTTTTTCAGACAATGCTACCTAAAGTTCATGACCACAGGTGAAGGGAATGTAGATAGATTTTTCCATTGCTTCCTTTCCCTAACCAGATTGGTGACTAATCATTGACTATCACCTTCAGTCACATTAATCTATGACAGACTGTTTTTAATTATTTTTCTTTTAGATCAAATCATTGACAGTTGTGATCAACATGTTTTTTTCCCTCAGCTCTGCTGTTAAATGAGCTTAAATAATCCTTCTAAGCATTTCACCTGACAGCTCCTGAGTTGGGGCCACATTACTCATTAGTCGACTCGCTGCAAGAGTCCATTGAGGTTCTGCACAGATTTGTAACTGCTGCATGAAAACATTTCTATCAGAAATGTAAATCAGAAGGTTTTGTACAAAATAGCAAAATTAATGTCATCCAGGTTTGGTCATTTGAGTATCTCACTCCGGAGACACAAAGGGGTTTTATTTTCTTTGGTATCAAATGGAAACCAGCCGAGTCGCAGATCTTTTTCTCATTTAAATGCAAATTGGTGTTATTTTCTTTGTATCATTGCAGAAGATGAGACCAATGAAAATAGGCTTCTCCGAGCATGACTTGAACTATTTCTTTTACCCACTTCCTTTCACCACCACCATCGTCCAGGTCTTTTTCTGTCCATGTCTGAAAACTTTACTCTGATTTACTCAGAGTGTTTCCAAGATAATAAAACTCCAGTAGCAAAAAATTGTTACTTTCACTCTAACCAAACACTGAGTTTAGCTTCATCCCCTCTCTTGATGTTACAGTGTTTTTCTCATCSTCGTCACACTTGCTCCCCTTTTCATAATAAACTTCCAGAAAAGCTTTGGCTTACTTTAAATYGCTTTGCCTTAGTTACAGTTTGGGAGCAGAGAAATTGTATTTAGCAGGGAAATTTTTAATTAGCTCAGTATATGTAAAATGACCTTTGCTTATACATTCATATCACTGTGGCATTCATCCTCTTTTATTAATCTGCCTTTCCAAAAATGCTGGTCTTAAATTAAAATATTCAAAGCATCTCTTGCAATCAAAGACAACCATTTGGATCATTTAGGAAATGCCATCCAGGGAGATGACGCTGTAATGAACACAAGTGTATCTGTCACCCTGAATGACTCAGAATGTTTGATGTTTCTCACTAAGAAGCAGCCGGTCCTTTTCCCTACCTACCTACCTACCTACCTACCTACCTACCTACCTACCTACCTACCTACCTACCTACCTACCTACCTACCTACCTACCTACCTA